ATACCAGAATTTTTTCTAAAGATTCTGATTAAAAAGTTTGAAATTTGGGTGAAAAATTGCAAAATTTTTATAATTTTTATACAAAGTTAAAATCTGAATTTATATGGTGTTTGTTGTATAGCCAGCTAGGCTTTTATAAAAAAATAATAAACATTAAATAAACAAAAGACAAATAGCCAAAACAGGTCAAAATATCGCACTCCTATTATTTTGTGGACAACTGTATATATGTACTAGCTGGCAGTGATTGCGCGAGGCTTCGCCACGCCCGTCAAAATATGCAAAAAAGTCAAAATCTTAGTATTTAGACTGTACTGTAGACTTACTTATTAGACAACATTTAAAAAAAAAACTTCAGTCCATTTAAATTTGAATTAACTAAGCTAAGTTAAGTAAAATATATTAAGTATTCTTGCAAATTTGTAGTTTTTACGGTAAAGTAGAACATTTTTTTAAATTTTTTATTTGTTGTATGTTTAAACTTTCTTCATACTGTGGTAAATCAGTAATTGATGAAAAACGAAAAAATTCATGAGTGAAAAACTAAATAAAAATAAAATCCTCTTGTTTAGGAAAATTTGTTTAATCGGCTGTATATTAAATTATTTCTTAGTAAACAATATTAAGCACTTTTTTTTTTAGGAGCAAAAATAAAAAGATTATTTTTATTAGTAACTCGCGACAAAGCAACGTAAAGCTGACCATGAGAGAAACAGTTGACACTTAAGTCCACTCCAGCGACTTCAAACGTTTGGCCTTGAGATTTGTTGATTGTCATAGCGAAACACAGTTTTAAAGGAAATTGGAGCCGTCTGAATTGAAAAGGCAAGTCTGTCGGAATAATAGGTATTCTGGGTATTAATACTATTTCCCCAGTTCCACATCCAGTTATAATCTTACACTCTATTAAATAATTTTTAAAAGATACTATGATCAAGCGGGTGCCGTTACAAAGTTTTGGGGGATTTAGGTTTCTTAACAAAATAACTGGTGAGCCTAGTTTAAGATTAAGTTTGTGTGGAGGTGCGCCAGAAGGATTTAATGAATTAAGAAATTCGGTCGGAAAATGAACTACTTGCTCTTGATCGAGAACTGTATCTACCGAATAGTAAGTCTTATTAGGAGCGTCAAATTTATATTGAACCATGTTATTTATTACATTACATTCATCATTTGTTGGTGTTAAAATAGCCCTCTCCTTAAACCAATCCAAAGTCATTCCCCTTAGATTTGAAATATCTGGATAAACCTTTTCTAGAAGTTCTTCAAGGCTTTTCACAGGTACACACAGGCTTTCATTTATGTCTACATTAGAGTTATTGTCTGTCATTTGTCCAATACCAATTTTGAGAAGTGCTTTAGCAAAAAGTTCATTTGCCAGACCGGAGGTCAATCTCATGTTTTTTTGTAACTGGACTTTATACATATGTTGCCACAACTGCGATCTTTTCAAGCACGCTTTTACTTCATCTGCCCTTGTTCCCCTAGAAACCACGGGCAAAATTTGACGAAAATCGCCAGAAAATAGTACTGTGCATCCTCCCATAGGCGAAAATTTGTTGCGTAAGTCTTGCAATGTTTTGTCTAAAGCATCCACTCCTGACTTGTGGGCCATTGTAGCTTCATCCCAAACTATAAGCGAACACTCTTGCATCAGCTTAGCCGTACTGCTTTGTTTAGGAATGTTGCATATACTACTTATTTCCTCAGTTACATTAAGTGGAATCTTAAACATTGAATGAGCAGTTCTTCCGCCGTCGAGAAGAGTTGCTGCTATGCCTGAGGATGCAACAGCTAATGCGATTTCCCCTGAAGATCGAATTTTTGCCAGCAGTAAATTAATAAGAAAGGTTTTTCCTGTACCCCCAGGGGCATCAAGAAAGAATATTTTGCCTTCATGATTAAAAACAGAACTCGAAACTGAATTATATATACTTTTTTGTTCTGAATTAAGCTTATCTTCATTTTGTCTAACAATTTCAAGTAGTTTGTGTTGATCATACGATTTTTCTCTCGCATAAATCGTATTATGGATAGTGTTGGCGTCAGTTATCAATGCAAGTGAAAAATCGGCAACTGTTTTACCGCAAAGAGAAATTACAATTTTGTTAAGTTCGCACAAAGATTCATCAAAAATTAATTGATTGTAATCCAAATTTCGGTTACCAGCTTCTCTTCTTTTTCTTTGCAATATGTCTTCTGACATGCTTTCTTTAAATTTATTCCAAAGCTCAACAGCGTCGGAAACTTGACAAAATGATAAAATTATAGCAAATAAATATCGCATCGAAATGGACGAAGTACTAACTACTGCTTCCAGTAGTGTTTGTTCCCAATGTGAATCATCTTCCAACATACCCAAAGCTTTACAGGCTGCTTGGTAGGAACTCAAGGTTGTACCTTGAACAGTTCTCAAAAAGTGGAAGGAAGTTGGGCCTTTGACTTTATGTAAAAGCATCCTTAGGTAAAAACATTCACTATTATTGGGATGTACAACATAAACTCTACCCAAAGCGTCTGATTTTTTCAAGTTTTCGTAACCCTGAACAGGGGTACCTATTTTCTTACGTTGGAACTTTTTTGCAGATCCATTCCACGTATAATAAGCAGGGACTTTGTCATAAGTAATAGTTTTGGAAAATTCATCATCCGCACATAGCTTAAAAAAAGCCGTTAAAGTCGTATCTGTTGGATTGTTAACAATATCATTTACGTTGTTTTCGTTGAAATAAACCCTTTGGCCGTTTTCTAAATGAACTGCTAGATGAGTAATAGTAGGATGACGACCATGGATATCAAAAGAGAAAATTCTCCACAGAGCTTCCGACGTGCATATGTATCTTCCAGATTGAAATTCTTGAATTTCATCTTTCGAATTTATCGTAAAAGTTGCTTGATCGCTGCCCTTATTTATGTATTTACACACATATTTAATGGACTTAATAGAGCTACAAAGCTCAACATTGATATCGGCAATAAAAGCTTTTAATAATACAGGGTTATATGGTATCACCCAGCTATTATCAACACTGTAGTTACGCAGCGATGCGGTTTGACCTCCCTCTGTTGGGGATAAACGGCGATATTTTGGATATCCGTCATCTCCACAGGACGTGTTATCTTGAAAAGCTTTAGGATACTTTTTTGCACAACGGTGCTCGTTCATACACGGAGAGTTAGGGCTTAAAGATCCACATGGTCCATGTATCATGTGTTTCACTACCAAATCGTGCAAAATTGGATCACATTGTCTATTCGGTAACTCAGCCGAAATTATACTATCAATTTGATTGGCTGTTATCTTGTTTTTTAACCAAAGAAGAAGGTGGACATGTGGAAGTCCTCGCTTTTGCCATTCCACAGTGTACATATGGCACTGAGGTGGGCCAAATATATGAGCTTTGTTAATTAATTTTAACAGTTTTTGAATTTTTAAGTTAAAAACTCTATTGATAATATCATAGCGTTGTTGGGAAGCTGTGGTTGGATCTAAATTGGTTTTTATTTCTTCCCAGTTGGGGTTGCAGGTGATTGTTATGAATAAATCAGGTTTTCCATAATTCCTGACATATGTCATAGCATCTTGGGTTTTTTCATGAAGATATTTAGGGCCACCTGTGAACGTTGCAGGGAGAATAACTAATTGACCAATTTGATTTGGTTCTTCATTCGATCTTAAGGCATCCTTCAAAGGTACATAATTCTCTGCACGTAACTGCTTTTGATTATTTCGTAAATATGCCAGACGTTCTGTCTCAATTTTGGCATATTGATCAACTACGTATTAATTCATTAACATTCCATACTTATGAATCGGGTTGAAAAGATTTTCCCTTACCATTAAACGGTAGCAATAAAAGCTCATGCAGGAAACTGTTTTTGAAAGAGGCTCCTTTGAATTAGGATCAACTTGTGGAATATTTGTACAGTAACCGTTTTCACCGCGACAAAACATTAGTGGGTATTGAAGACTATCATAACTACGATGCAGTTCAGAAATGCGAATTAAGTTATTGCTACGACTTTTTAAAATTATGTCTCTTTTGCTAAATTCTTGACCAGTTATCATGACCGCAACGTCACTGGTACATGGTGCATTGTATCGACCAGGATGACTTCCTACAGGTACTTTATTTGCATGAATAATTACTTGGAAATCTGGGATATTTGGTGGAACACTTTCTAATGCAGTTTTGAATGACGAAATATATGCGTTATGCTCATGCAACATGTCTTGCAAAACACTTATAACTGCTTTGTCAACTGCCTGGGCTGCTCTTACTACATCTTACAAACGCCTGCGTTTCAGGATCAGAAATAAAATAAATCTGAAGGAATTGATGCTCATGGTCAGATTCCGGAAACAAACTACCTGCGAAGTGGTAAACTTGCCCTTGTATCTTAAACGTGGGCATGTATCCACGCTCGAAAATTTGAATACTCCGAAATGAAGTAAATTGGAATGCATTGTTGTAACTCCTGATATTTTGCAAAAAATGAGTAGATTTTGGATGATTACCTGTTAATAAGGACCGTAGTGGTTCGAGTGGAGCAGGGATTTCTTCTAAATGGACTTTTCCACCAAGGCAGCACATGCCACCGGATTCACCTCTAAATTTTTTGGCAAAACAAAAGCTACAAACAACTGACATATTTCCAATTGAAATAAATTGGTCATTTGCATAATGAATCGGAGCATGATAACGCATGCCCGAAAAGTTTTTTCACGCAACAAATGTTGGCTGGCCTCAGACCGCCGCGCATGGATTCTATCCCTATTTTGCATGAGGCGTGCTTCTCGCTGACTTGCAGTCTCGTTGCTACGTGCATTTCGCTGTCTCTTCGCACGTGTAAATCATGCGTCGTTATCAGTACGACGTCGGGGCATGATTTTAAGTACATTTCTAAATTTATATTACTCGCGATTTGGTGTCAATTCTCGCTTCAAAAACGCTTCGCTTTCTTTGCTCACCAATTCCAGAATGATGAATAATTTCTAGAAGCTGACTATATGTTAAGAACATGCCAGTCATGTTGCCTCGCAGAAGAACGGACTGAGAATTGGTGCTATGTATTTGAAGCGGCGAACATGCTTGCACTGTCGTTCAGCATATATTATAATGGATTCTGTGCGAGCATGTTGTAATCAAACAAATTTCATTTCCAGCAAGCACGTTGCGCACATCATTGTTCGGCTGTTGCGAATGCATATGTACATATATATATGTATGTATACATACGTGCATACATACATACTGCCCGATCAAATTCATTTTTCTTTTCTGCTTTGTGCTTCTGCTTCCCGCTAGCAAGCGAAGCTAATAACAATCCTCGCATAAAATGGAATAAAAAATGTTAAGAAGGTTTTATTTATTAATTTTTTTCGTATCAATATTAAAAAGAACAGAGCAAACACCTATGCAGTTTATTAAAGAAATGTTCAAGTTATTACTTCGTTTTTTTGCTTTTTAAATTGATGCAGTAGTTTTAAATATATTGGCGTTAGAAGATAAAATTAGTCTATTTCTGAGGGGTTTTTGCTTATTGTCACGCCCCTATAAAAAAAAAAATATTTAAAAGTAGCGAACATTGGAGAGGAAGGTTCAAGAAATATTTTGCAAAAAATCTGAACAAAATCGGTTCAGTTTTAGCTGAGCTGTGAGGGAACATACACATTTTGAGGATTTATTATATAAGATGTAGAGATATAAATTAAATATATCTCTTTCATATCACATATCTTCATTTGTTAATATAAAAAGAAAGGAGATCTCGATGTAGTTTAAAATACACTATTTAAAAACTAAATTTGATTTATTTAAGTTATTAAATACTGCATATTAAGAAAGGTAACCATTTTCCTCTTTTAATGTGTGCAAATTTGCACACCGTGTAATAAAATTAAACACTGCCTGTTTACTTTAACATACCAAATTTTTCGCAGAGCGCAAAATAACACATAAAATGTTTAAAATAGAGTAAATGTAAGCCCCTAATGTTTATTATTTGTAGGAAATGTATTTTTAGTTTCAAAATTTTCGTCACTTTAAACATTTCCTGTGTATATTTTAAAGATCTCAAGTTCAAAATCGAATCCTCAACATCTTATACGTATGTATATTTATACAGATTCCTGTTGAAGAATAGATATTTTTCAGTAGTAGTTTTACACACACTTTTCATAGTGTACAGGTACAAATGTAACATATTAATTACTATTTTTTATACTTACTTTGCAAAATACTTATGTATAAAAGATGTAATTTATAAATTGAAATTACAAATGTTTGATTTTATGAAATATCAAAATATATATACACGTATTGCAAGTCCTTAAGATGAGTTAAATTATGTCTTTTTCTTCAAAATGTTTGATTTTCATACAAATTATGAGATGGATACGTAAAAAAAGAAAATTGGATACATTTGGATACATTTTTGGCTTGGTCGGTGATACATTTTCTTGGGACGGCGCGGCAACACTGATTGTGATTTTTTCCAGCACTAAATTTGCACAGGAACACAATAAATTTTAAATTAATAAAGGTTAAAGATTACTTTTATTGTGATAAAAAATATTCGACTAACCAATCAGGTGATAAATAACCTAATCGAAAAACCCCACTCCCCTAATTGTGCATGAAAGTCGTCACTTCGATAATCCCATGACTTTTCCTCCCAAGTCACTCCGAAACACTTCACTTTTAGGGCCAGTTACTCAATGTCTGGTTAACACTTATCTGCGGTTAAACATCGTTATCGACGTCTACGACTCCATGCATATAGCACGGTTTCGATAACGTCGATAACGATGTTTAACCGCCGATTAGTGATAACCAGACATTGAGTAACCGGCCCTTAGTGTGTTTTCACTTCGCTCGAAAATTAGCAAACGGCAGCACTGGTAGTGTAGACTTTTAGGTGGCTATATTTTACTTAAATGTGTTCAGTGTTGCCACATTTTTTTATTTTTTATCCAAGATCACCAGAAAAAGTTACCAAATTCAACAAAAATTGCACAGTTCCACAAAAAAAATCGATGAAAGGTTCGTTTCACCAAAACTAGTCTGTTATATGTTTTTGAGTCGCTGAACACGAATCTGAAGTCCGTTTGCTCCATCACGTCTGGATTTTTGTCTAAGTTTGGTTAACCAAACTTATTTTAAACTAAACTAAAATTTCAGAGCACTTTAAAATCCACATTTGTCCAGGTATGACCAAAGAACGTAGATAACAAGAAGGGATCACTCGTTATAATCGTAGCGAAAGTGAATAAAAGGGGCGTGATTCTGAAAAAGGACTCGGTAGATATAACAATAGCCACTATCAAGCAGTTGGTTGTAGATCACAAAATTATAGTAACGAAGAACTCTTCGCCTCGCAAGAATGGCAATATGAGTGCAGTCTATTGCACCAATCACGCCCTTTATGCCGAACTTGTTGTGAAACCTACAAATAATTTTGTTGCTTTTCATATATTTATGTGTTAGATTGAATACACAACTTACCCTTTTTTTATATTGTTGTCTTGTTCAGTCGTATTGGGAAAGCTAATTCACTATGTTTGTGTTCGACTACAAGTCTGCAAATATAATTAATATTGCGTGAAACACTAGCTTGACTCATAGCACAGAAGTGACCACTTCCTACACAGCTTTGATACGATCCATTGGAGAGAAAGTACAATACTGAAATAAACTAAAATCAAAGGAACGTTTAGTGCCGCGATTCTACATTAATATTCCAAATTAACTTACTCGAAGCTCAAATGAAATTCCAAATTTGCGACTGTCGTGCGGTTTTAAGCCCTGGATAAGGTCCCAGCAGAAAGATTTTGGAAGTCTAAAGAAGCCTCTGAAAGTATTTTCATCCAGTGCAAACGGATCTTCTCTATCGCGCAAACATCTTAGATTTCGCCTCTGCGCATTTCTATAAGACAAAAAATTGTTATTTACGATTATTCATTAAAAATATTAATTTAATAAAAGCTACCTTATTTCAGCTTCGAGTTTTTTCGCCCATAAATAAAAAGCAATTATTTCTTCCTCCATATTGTGTAAATTTTCTGACTAGTGACCTGCTCTCAACCAGCTGACAAATTAGTGATTTTTTTTGAGACTAGAAATGTGAGACAGCTCTCTGAATACCAAATAGTCTCAAGCTCGGAACACTTTGACGACAGCAAGCGACAAGCAGCATCTGTCAAATTTTAGATACACACGTTCTTACGGACACAATTATTTTGACGACAGCACGACATCTTGGCTGCAGGACTGCAATTGTCGACGTCGCCAAATTAAATCTATTTCTAATTTTGCCGGCGACAATGAGTAGATGTAGTGCTGCAAAATTAAATTGTCGCAAAATTAATCACATATTCTTGATTGTTCATGTTTTTCTTATTTACTTAAATAAAAATACACAATTTGTGAAATAAATATACCAAAATGTCAAACTTTAAAATCAGCTGTTTGCTATGTCGCTGAGGTCTTCAAAATGTTTAAGAAGCTGGCTTCAAGGCGACATTTGTCGACAAAATGATGTCGCTGTCGTTACGTCGTGAAGTTGCAGTCGTCAAAGTGTTCCGAGCTTAAAAATCGACTTTCACCACGAAAAGTCTCTATTAGTGACTAGAGACTGCTTACTGAATCCATATATGTAATACTCCTATATTGCAGTAAGAGCTAGTACCGTCCGAAAACACTACAGTACAGATATATCAATAAACACGTACGAAAGAAAAGGAACACATACATTTATAAATAAACATGTACACAACACATATACAAAACCGGCACTCAAGTACACAATACATTGACAAAAACAGTACTAGACTGTCTCGCTTTGATTTCGGAATCTCAGTATATCCAGTAAACAAACTTAGCTATTTTTTTTTCACCAAGTTTGGTCCCCATAAAGGACTAGTGTTGCAAGCAACGCTTTTTCGGCAATTAGGGTGTTGTGCAGCTATTTAATGTGGTGAAAATTATTTAAGCACTGGAGAGATTTATTCACATGGAATTGGAGATAGGGCTGATAGATTTATTTTAAATAAATTGTGAATCTGCGAAAATATCTTTTCAGCAGATGAATATACTTTTTAACCTTTTTCCCGAAAATTTACATACAGGCTCGAAAATATGCGAGTAACATTAGGTTTGTATAGTAACTTCTCCAGTAAAACATTGCAGCGAGAGCGTAAAAGTGAGAAGAAGAGAAAACTAGCAGAAGAGGTTATTGAACACAAAACTAGCAAAAACTTGCAAGAGAACAGTTGTTGCACTGCTTTGACAATCTGCTGTAAACATTTTACTATTTATAAATCAGTTTTAAACTCTTTGCTTTACACACAAGCACTTACACTGTCCAGTACATCATTAATATTATGATTTCCACTCATTTTACTTTTGTTTGTGCCAAGGCGAATCAATATAAGGTGATAGCAGGAGTACAAAAACAAAAATTTACATGTATTTTGTTTTTGCTTTGGCGGCATAAACTGTCAAAACCTGTAAGTGTGTGTAGAAATTCAAACAAAATTTTTCAATTTGATATCAGAAGCCGTGCGGCGAAACACATACACAAAATCAACTGAGCTAGTAACACCACTTTTTATATATTCTTTTGACATTTATTCTTCTTCTTCTTCTGCTAGCTAATTTCTGCTAGTAAAAATTTCACTAGCAAGAATTTGCAGCTCTCTCGTGTTGTTACGCTCTCGATTCAGTGCTCTCTTGCAAATTTTTTGGGTTATCATACACTTTTCCAGTAAAAGTTTGCAGGTTCCAGTACAAATTAGTACTGACTATTGGTAACTATACAAACCTATTCAAATATCGTCGCCTGGATGGAAAATTGCCGGAAGCGTCATTTTGACAATTTGTGGTTTTTGGATATCTTCTTTAGTTTCCGACTAATTGACTAAAATTTTTTCGGTTATTTGGTACAAATTGCGTTAGTATTGCTGTCGTACTAAACTAATCAAGATCTTTCAAATAGAGTTATCTGTTCTTCTTTAGTTTCCGACATATTCAGCTTTATCATGAGTTTCATTTTCTAGAACCGGGTCACTTTTCGTTTGCGTGTGTTCACTACAGGTGGATGAAAAAATTGTTGGCGAAATTTTGTTCGGGCGAAACTCACGATTAGGCTGATTAGTAAAAAGTATGGTTAATTTATAAAAATTGTTATCACATTTTGGCGTATATCACTAAAACTGACTGCAAATTTTTTGACAAATGTCGTATACGACAAAATTTTATTAAACTCATAAATGGTTGACACTAAACTAAAAAAAAAAAAGATAATTTAAGAATTTCCTGAACTAGTACGACACTTTGGAGAAAATCTGTAGTCGTGTTTCTGAGAAATTGCATTCCAAACTTCAATCGTGAGTTACCGAAAGTAACTTGTGACAATCTTTTATCCAGGGATCTACATAAATTATAATTGTCATTATTTTCGCAGTTGGAGTATATGCCAGACGAGTAACAGGTATATACATACAAGGATACCTAAATTAGCGCGTTGAACTTGTATATTTATCTCTCTCCAACGCATTAATTCTATATACGTAGGTACCAACGCCTGACAAAGTTATGTCTAAATTTAATAATGGCTCTATGACAAAATATTCATGGAATGTATTCGTAGATTTTTATTTACTTCATTTCATACATTAGCATTGATGTTTTGTTTTTCATACATTAGTATTGATGTTTTTTACTAAATACCAGGAATAAATATTTAATAAAAAACTATTTCATTTAAGCTTAACCAACTTTTAGTTGCTCGGAGCTAATTTTGGAACGCTTCACGAAATATTTTCATAGACAGTAAATGCAACCCTGGGTGCATCATTAACGAGCTGAAAAACCAAACAAATAAAAAAATTCCATCTGAACCAATATTCCCAAAAATTATAAAGCAAAACAAAAACCATTTTTTCCAATTTATGCACTGTTATTTTTATTATTGCAATACAATTTCGCAGCTCTTCAAACATTTTCCACATTATGCTTTTAGGGCTAGTAGTTTCCGACCCCATTTGCTCGTTTTTTTTTTTCAATTCTGAATTTAGGCTAGGCTTCATGGGAACTTACTGTGGGTGCAAACAGACCACATTTTGTAAACTGAATTGTGATATTTAATTTTATTTTATAATGAAAAATGAATTTAATGTGCAATTTTTTAAGTTTACTAGATGTAAGACAACTTTTAATTTTCTTTATATATTGCATGCTTTAGTTTTAATTCTGTTTAAGTTAAGTTGTAAAGGTGAAAATAGGCCTCCTGGGCAACCGAGCACATTAAAAAAAAATCGGTAACGCGCGTAAAAGCATACCTCACAAGTGGTGTGGAAAATGCAAGAACAAATATAAATGGAATAATTTTCGAAATTATGAAATGGTTATTGGTATTTTCCATCTCAAAGGGGATGATTAATTTGAACGTTATTTAAGCTGCCTTTACACGGTCGATTTTTGTCGTTTAACCAAAATCTACCCGTGTAAATTGCAATTCAACCGTAAAATGTAAGCGTTTTGGCTAGTCGATATCTTAAGTAAATTTTCCAGTCGACAGAAATCGACCCGTGAAAATCCAACTTCAGGAATTTTTTAATTTTCTTTTTTTTTTTTGCTTGGGCGTCTTTTGAAGATGTGCCAAATTATATTGTCGACTTAAATACAAAACAACAATTTCTTTAAGCCATCTTGTGCAGCAATTTGTTGATCTTATCCTCACGGCTACCGAAATCACCAACCTCAACGTAGTGATTAGCCTTCTTGCGCCAGCCTCGGGTTGATGTGTTGAGCTTGAATAGCAACAGGAAGTTGGGGGCTTTCTTGAAGTGAAGTGAATCAACGCACTGAATTTCGTGCGCTTCGCGAAATTTGCGTTCGATCACAAAGCAGAGATTGGGACACGCTTGACCATTCCACGTTTGTACATCAATTCACAAACTGATTTAAGATTTGGATAACCCCATATAGGGGGTTCGGCATACGTAGCATATTAATGGTTGCCTTGCTCAATTTGATGAACACACCGTTTTAATGTGGCGAAGACAGAACTGTAAAACTACGCACTTTTTGTGCAACTTTGTTGATACCGCGGATGCGGATCACAAAAGCCAATTTGGATTTTTCAGGCCCGTCGAATTGGCCGCATTTCTTTGCCACACAGCGTTACTCCATCTCACGGCGTCCATCACGGAGTTTTCTTGTTTGATATTTCTCAGCATGCACCAAGTTTTCACATTTACGGAGTGCAATCACAGCAGAGCGCTTTAGTTTACGTTTGATCAGGGTAGCAATTTGCTGACCTGCTCTTGCTGAACTGCAGCTTCGGCTCGGGGACAGGAGGCAGCTTCCTGGAAGGTTGTCTGCCCTTTGCTTGCGGTTTCTTACCGGCCCATGATGGCAGTCATCTTAACTTGTTACTTAGCACGTTGAAAAGGCGAAAAAAAGTTCGCCAAATGTTTGGAGCACATCGTAAATGAGCCACTCGATTTATAACATTTCTATAAACAATTTAATTAAATACTTTTTATACATAGATATGCTGCAACCATGCACTTACTTTCCCAAATTCCATCCTGTTTATCGGCATAATTTTCCAAATATGCCTGCTACTTCATTACTAATTACTAAATTTTCCAACTGCGCCTTCTTTGTTGGCTCGACATATCCTAAAAAGACAAATTTACATTAAACAATAGAAATCGCAAAAATTAGCAAATAAAATACTCGCTTTGTTTTGTTTTGTTGTCAAATTTCTGAGAAATGTGAATTCACCACGATGCGATACAGAAAGAACAAGGACCAGGGATGTAATTTTAAGTAAATCTATTATTCAGTGGCAAGGCGCAGAGCGTTCGGGGCAGCAATATTAATTTGTATCAAATATAACATTAAACGGTGGTTCTAATACATTTTTTGATATTATTAACCAGAGTACATACATTATATGGTATTTCTTTCAAAATTAATGTACTATATGAACTTTTTTTTCAAATATTTCTTAAGTTTCTTTCATGAGTGCTGAAAAGCAACCATGCGTGTAAGAAATTGTGTGCTACCTAAAATTTCACCTCTGGAAACTTTATCCCCATAAAGGACTTCACCACAGTTTTTTTACTGGATATACTGAGTTCGGA